TTCAAAATTCCATCTTTCTTTTTCTCCTATCAGAAAATGTCAGAGTCCCTCAACACGAAATTCTTTGCCTGCTTCTCTTTTAATTCTACTCCACCCTGTTGTTGTTGTTAGGTGTTGTTGAGGTGGCTCACACTCATAGCGACCCTATATACAATAGAATGAAACACTGCCTGATCCTGTGTGACCCTCACAATCCTTGCTATACCTGAGACCACCACTGCAGACACTGTATCAATCCATCACTTCCAGTATTGTATCCAACAGTGTTTCACTGTTATTCATAACATTTTCAGTGGCTTATTCTTTGAGTAGTGGATGGCTCCTTCCTTCTTCCAAGTCTGTCTTAGTCTGGAAGCTCCACTGAAACCTGTCTATGATTGGGTGACCCTACTGGTATTTGAAATACTGGTGGCATAGCTCCCAGTCTCACAGCAACAAACAAGCCATCACAGTATGACAAACTGACAGACAAGTTAATTAACTGGCTTCAGTTAACTCAACACACAGATTACAGAGATGATTCATTCATTTATATGCCTAAGGCATTTGACTGCTAACCAGAAGGCTAGCAGTTCAAACCCCCCAGTCACTCTTTGGAAAGAAGACTGGACAAACTACTTCCATAGAGATACCACCCCAGAAATACAGGAGGAGTCACTGTGAGTCAGAACTGACTCGACAGCAGTGAAGTTTGTTTTTTTTTTTTAATGTATTTTTGAGCTGAAGTCTCACATTCTCCGCTTCCTGAATATGTTTATGTTTGAAATGTACATTAAGTCAACCTGTCCAGAAATGAACTTATGATCTGCTATCTCATACCGGATACTTTTCCAATCATCATCATCATCATCATCATCATCATCATCATAATCTCAGTGGAAGGTATCACCATTCATCTTGTCACACCGGAAAAAAAAAAATCAGAGTCATCCTTGATACGTTCCTCAACTTCTACAACATCCAACACATCAGTAGTTCCTATTTTAATTATTTTTAAAATTATTGATCTGTTATCTTCTTATCATTAACCCCGCATTAGTACATACTACTGACATTTTTTTAGGACTACTGGTTCTCCCATGTTCACTCACCTTACATCTTCTCATCTGTGGTAGTTGAGGATATGTGTCAACTTGGCTGGGCCTTGTTTTGAGTGGGTGGGCAGCAGAATACAGTTATTCCTCATGGTGAGATTGGTAATCAAGTCCATGGTGGAATCTACTGTGAGCAGCTGCCTTAGGCATGTGGTCTTCTCCCAGTACATAACGAGAAGCCTTAAGAATAGTCTGTAGCTTTTCGGCATGCTTGGACCCTGTGTGTAGCCAACTCATCATTTAGCAGCCTGCTATGTTTCCTGCCGATCTTGAAACTGTCTCTGGACTTGGTGACCTGCTGTGTTGTTTGGAATACTGGGATTGTGCCTTTTCACTTGTCGACCTTGGGTTTGTCAGCCTCAGCAGCTGCCTGAGTGAAGAAAGCCTCTAGCTTCAGAGGGCCAGAATTAAGAGGCAGAGCTGAAGCCCAAGGTCAAGGGGCTTTCACCAAGCCTCTAGAGCCTGGCACTTCGAACATGGACTTCTAGCCTCCAAAACTGTATGAGAATAAACTCCTGTTTTTTAAAGCCATTCCACCTGTGGTATTTCTGTTAGAGTAGCAGGGGAGGTAATCAAAACATCACCCATAATTCATACTCAAGATTTATCATTTGGAAAGTTACATCTATCAGCTGGATACCCTCCCTCCAAAAAAAGAAAGAAAGAAACCTTCACAACAATAATAGAATAAATATCAAAATACTATAAAGCACACTATGGTATCTTCTAGGGTCCTCTCCAAAATTCTTTCATACATTCTCTCCATAATCTCTGTACTCAAGACAGGAGGTTCAGAGAATGTTGCATATGATCTGTAACAGATGCAGCAAAACAACTGGTTGTTTACAGATTGAACAGTATACAGTCAGTCTGCTCTTCCAAACTTAAATGTAGATAAAGCAGGAAAACAAACTATACCCAAAGTGGGGCACAGTTTGATTGGTTTTATTTGCATCACAATTTCATCAAAAAAATCTCAACAGCTTTCAAGGAATTTTACTAAATGTATTTAATTTTCAAAGAATAAACCAAAACAATGTTATGAAACATTAAACAAAACTAAACTGAGCTTATCACAAGTGTAGGAGAATATTTAGGTAGCTGAAAGACTTCATTTTGTACCTCACAGAATGACCACTAACATAAATACCTGATGTGATATTGTCCAGTTATTTAATTTTTTTGAACCTCAATTTTTTTTCCAGTAAAATAGAGATTTAATAGACACACACACACACACCAAAGATTATTAGTAGTTACCAGAGGTAGGAGGGAGGGGGAATAGGGAAGCTTTTGTTTTCAGGCACATTGAGTTTATGCTGATAGGTGGTAGGAAAAAAAAAAAATACTAAGCTTCATCCAAAAGATTTGGGATATGTTCTTTATTGGCCAGTGTAAGAATTAAGTACATAAAAGATTTGCTGTCAGTTTATAACTTCTCTCCTGTTTCTACTCCACAGCAGTCAGATTAGTAGAGAAAAAACACTGAATAACAAGTCATGGTAATTGGGCCTGTGTGACATTGAGCATGTCAGCCAAACATTTAGGGTCTCAGTTTCCTCATTTGTAAAATGAGAGTAAGTTGATGTTCTAAATCCTCATTTATAATAATTAAATATTGCTTTTCTGCTCACTAGCCTAGAATTCAAATTTTATGTACATACTTACTGAGAATTACACAGACTTGTTTTTAATCTTGCCTTTACAGCTATATTACCTTGGCAATACCACTATTACTCATTAGCTACTGAGTCTGTAAAATGGGGATAATGATAGTACCCAATAGGCAGGTTAGTCTTTAATTTTTATTCATAGCACTTAGCACTTATCACCTTCTATCTAACTTCTTATATATACACACGCTGCACAGGGGCAGTGTTTATTGCCTGCTTCATTCACTGATGCATTCCAAGCACCTTAACAGAGGGTGGCACTCAATATTTGTCAAATAAATGATTAAATGAAACAATGAATTTAAAGTAATTAGCATAGTAATTGACACAGGACATTTGATAAATAGTCCTGAATACCACAGCGCCACCTCACACAGACAGCTGGAAGAAATAAGTATGTTTCAAAGAAAAGACTAAGGGGACTAAGGATCATATTGTTGTTTTCAAATATTTTAGAGTGCCACATGTTACTTTCAAAGAAGATGAGCCAATAGGTGGAAATTACAGGAAGATTTTTTTTTTTTTTTTAATTCAGAGTAAGGAAGACACTTCTAACAAAACTGCTCAAAAATGAAACAAACTGTTGCTCAAGTAAATGTTTAAATGTTACTTCACCATTCAGTGTAAGTATTCAAGAACATTATTAAAACTTAAGAATTTATGATCCCATAATTAAATGATTTGGAAAGAACTCTCTTTATACAGAAATACAGAATAAGTATATGTTGAATTTTGACTTTGTGATGCTGCTGACAAATAAAAACACAGCTGAAAAATGGTTAATGTAGTAAATACCAATCTATTTTTCGTATGTATATGTGGTCAAATAACATGCACTTGTTGGCTAATAAACCATATTGTTGAAAAATAAATGCTGCTGATTTGTCTTATAATGTTGGCAACAGTATCAGGTAAAAGCTGAAGAATTCCCTACCCCTATTAAAGAAAAACAACTATTTAAGGCCTGGATATTTTGGTAATCTTCTTTCCTTCCTGTTCTCTATAACCTAGTGGTAACACTGCATTTGGAATTTAAGAACATTGGCTGCATTCAGATTGGTTGATTTCAGGAAACTAACTGATGCATCATTCCTGCCAAACAGAGACAATTTCAGACAAATCGCATGACATCAATAAAGAAGGATCTCACTCAATATCATTTTTATGAAGGATATGTGGCCTCAAACCAAAATAGCCTCATCGATCTGTTGCCATCAGCTCAGACAGAAAAGAATTAAGTACATAAAAGTGGCTGTCATAAAATGTAGCCAAGAAGAGGCTAAGCCTGATCATAGAAGGTCAGTTAAACATTTGGAAAATAAAGCAAGCTTTCTTTAATGAACCATAAAAAGTTATTAACAAGTGAATTGAATTTCTACTTTAGACAGAAATATGGAGAAATATCCATTGTTTCAAAGGTTTTCTCTATTCTCTACATTGGCTGCCTATTGAGAAAATATATGTTGTAATACATGAAAATTTTTTTAAAGGTATGAAATGGAGGAAGTTTACCAGCTAGTGATAAATCCCAAAGGTAGTACTTCAGGAATGCACTGCATTCACACATTTGAAATTATAGTGTCTTTCTTCCTAATTCAACTGCATGAGCCGGAATGAGGAGAGTTGTTTTACTCAAGGGAATTATCCAGATAATTCAAGGCAATCCCTAGGAAGCTAAGCTTTTTAAAACTTCTGTCATAACAATGTGGGTACCAGGCAAGGTAATAATACTTCTTTGATACATATATAAAATGAAGTAATTTTCCAGCAATGCATAAAAAATGATCTTAGAAAGCAATTCTGTAATTCCAAGCCCCAAATTTTATGATTCTATTATTATTAACAACATTTATATAACGATTTCTCAAAATAAATAAATAAATAATTTTCTAAAGTAGCTGCAGAAAGTTTGAAATGTGTTTGTTTCCTCAGGATATTACTCAAGAATTTAAGAATTCATCTCATTTCCTTACAGTAACTTTTTGAAGACTTAAGGAAACAAATCATCTTCGTGTGTTGATTCCTGTTATTAATCAGCATGTGGCATATCTACTTATTTCCCGTAATTTTCTCCAGGAACTGTTACTTGATGACATTTAAGCTCTACTTCTACTACACAGATTAAGATTCTAAAACATGTAGGTTATATACGAAAAGACACTGTCTATGCCTCCAAATTCCTGGCCTATTATTCTCCAGCCATGGTCAAATATATCCTCTCTTTGGCACTTACCTGCCCAGAAGCAGAAATTCTCCCACAAGGCCCAGGCGCCTCATAGCCATGAGCAGACCTCTCACTGTCATCCCCTCACAGAAGCAGGCCACCACTCGGGCCTTGGGCAAGTGGCTCCTGAGCTTCTTCAGCAGCTTGTCGAAACTCTGCTCTCCTGCGTTGCTATAGATTTTATAAGAGTGAGCGATGCAAATCCCTTCCTTGGCTGACATGTCTTTGAAAGCCTCCATCCCACTTTCTCCATAGTTGCCTGTTTGAAAACATAGATAAGTAGAGGGCAAATGAAATGAGAGTGTTGAATCACTGCATAAAATAACAATGCAGAAGTTCTAGGAGCCTGAATGTGGTTTGACGGTATTCAGTTTAAAACCAGAAGACCTAGATTGGAGTTCTTGGTTTTCCACTGGCCTTTTCACTTTGGGAAATTTACAGTGAAAATATCATATACTTATACACATTGCAACTTTCATTTTCACTGGGGAGAGAGAGAGAATAGTATTAAAAATACTGGCAATCCAGGTCCCTTTTGACTCAAAAAGCACGCGTCTAAGTGTGAGATGAAAGAAGACATTGATCTTCTATTTCTTTCACCACACTACCCTTTGCTTCCCATTGTGTGATCATCTTACCTCATTGAGATTTTCATGTTAGTATATTTATGCATACATATACTTTATTTAGTATACATGTACAGGCTTTAGATAGTATTATTTATTAGATATTGTATATATTAGATTTTTTTGTATAGGTATAATATTATATGGGAGCTCTGGTAGCATAGTGCCTAAGGCACTTGACTGCTTATCAGAAGGCTGGCAGTTCAAACCCACCAGCTACTCCTCGGGAGGCAGATAGGGCAATATACTTCCATAGTGATATGCCTCCGAAACCCAAGGATGGGTTGCTATGAGTCGGGTCCAACTCGACAGCACCTAACAACAACAACGATATTGCATACAAACAATAATATATTTTGTATATATAATACGTTTGTGGTGGTTATGTTTTTGTGTCCATTTGTTGGGCCTGGTTGAGTGGCTGGGCAGCTGGTGGTAGTTATTCCCCAAGATGAGATGGGCAATCAACGCCATGGTAGGATCTACCATAAGCATCTGAGTAGCTGCTTTGGGTATGTGGTCTGTTTCCCATATATAAGCAGCAGATTTGGGAATGGTCTCTAGCTTATGACACCCCTGGACCCTGCATGTAGCTGTATCATTGTTGAGCAGCAGCCTGCCATGCTCTGCTGACATTGGAACTTACAATGGACTTTAATTAATGGCCTGCCATGGGGTTTGGTAACATCAGGACTATGCCTTTTTACTTGTCAATCTTGGGCTTGGCAGCTTTAGCAGGCAGCAGCTGTCTGAGTGAAGAAATGTCCTAGCTCCAGTGGGCCTGAAGCAGGAGGCAGAGCTGAACCCCAAGGTTGAGGGGTTTTCACACAGCCCCTAGAGCCTAGCACTTTGAACTTGGACTTAAAGCCTCCAAACTGTAAGCGAATAAACTCCTGCTTGTTAAAGCCATCCCATTTGTGGTGTATTCCTGTCAGAGTGGCACTAGGTAACCAGAACAGTATTGAATATATTATATACACAATAATATATATTTATTTATGGTTTGATCTCAATTGAGAAACCCAGATCCTTGATTGAGATTTTAGTTTTGACACATATAAATATATACACTGAAAGTCACTTAACTACAACATTATCCTCTATGATCATAGGGAAGTTAGTGATATGGAGTGCATATATCTTAAGTCTTGTGGAAAATTTGGTACATAAGGAGTAGTCTTCCAAAATAAAGGGAATTAATACTGACAGTCATTTACGTCAGGAATGTACCAGGACCTTTATGTATGTCATTTCATTTACTTTCACAATAGTATGTATAACTCAATAGTATTATGATTTCCTTTACACAAATGAGAGTAGAGATAAGGCAGTTACACACCCAGTAAGTAGAAGGCTGAACTCCATTCACAAACCTGTCTAGCACTGCATGTTCTCTCCCTCCCCTCTTCTATAGCTGACTCTTAGGTCCCTCAGAAGACCAACTGAACCTGCATTTCTCTTTGCCATTTGAAAGTTACAGAGCTTCAATTTTAGATATTTTTGAAGACTCTTAAATCTCCATAAATCACACAATTCTCATTTTCTAACTTTTTAAAAGATTAAGGCAGAGTGAAGGAGGATCAATTAGAAGAATTGGAGACTACTACAAGACAGTCAAGTTGAGAGACATATAGGCATACTTTGGAGATATTAAAGTTTTGGTTCCAGATCAGCATGATAAAGCAGATATCACAATAAAGTGAGTCACACAATTTTTTTTGTTTTGTTTTCCAGTGCATATAAAAGTTATCTTTATACTCTTCTGCAGTCTATTAAATATGTAACACCATTATGAAAAAGTTTGAAATATGAGAATTACCAAAATGTGACAGAGATACTAAGTGAGAACATGCTGTTGGAAAAATGGTGACAATAGACGTGGTCATTGCAGGGTTGCTATAAACCTTCGATTTTAACAAATGCAGTATCTATGAATTACAGTAAAGCAAAGCACAATAAAATGAAGTATACCTGTATAGAATATAACTGGCCTAAATATTAAGTGGATCTAGAATTTGGAATTTCATCAGGAAGAACAGTTCTAAAAAGCATGAATGTACTAGCAATCAATTTAAAAAAAAAAAAAAAATACTCACTGCCATGGAGTCCATTCCAATTCATAGCAATCCTCATTGCATTTCCATGGCTGTAAATCTTTACCAAAGTAGATTACCCCACCTTCCTTCCATGGAGCGGCTGGTGGGTTTGAATCACTGACCTTCCGGTTAGTAGCCAAATGCCTTATCCCCTATGCCACCAGAGTTCCTTAGTCAGTTGTATAAGATTCACTACATGACTATAATACACCAACACTAAACCAAACCTGTTGCCATTGACTTGATTCTAATTCATGATGACTTCATGTGTTACAGAGTAGAATTTGCTCCCTAATCCTTATGGAAACAGATTACCAGGCCTGTCTTTGGTGGGCTAATGGGCAGGTTCCGATGATCAACCTTTCAGTTAGCAGTTGAGCTCAAATAGTCTGTGTCATCAAGGGGTATAACTTAAGAAAAACTACCTTTCTACAGGACTTTTAATCTCTGGAAAGTATGTATTACCTCATTGCTTCTCTCATCAACTATGCAGTAAAAGTTAATATATCCACCTCACAGCTGATAAACACTGAGGTTCAAATATAGCAAATAGGTGATAGTCTTGGTTTGAATATATAGATACAGATGTGTGTATGTTTATATGTATGTTGTTGCATTAGAGTCTATTCCAACTCATGGCAATTCTCTGTGTACAGAGCAGAAGTGTGCTCCTTAGGATTTTCAAGACTGATTTATTGGAAGCAGATTGCTAAAGTATTTCCATGGTGCCACTGGATGGGTTTGAACCACCAAACTTTCAGTCAATAGTCTAGCACTTAGCCATTTGCACCACCAACACACACACACAGCCCGGTCTTCCAACTCTGTGTGCACACCATCATAACCACAGGTGTTTTGCTGCAGCTGAGAAACTCAGATATTGGAATCCCTGTGTGGTTCTGTCTTCATGGACAAACTGCAAAGGGCAAAGCAGAGCAGGCAAGCCAAGCCCAGTCAAAACGTTACCCTACAAAACGGAGGACCGGCTGCATGTGTTTCTTTTTTCTCAGAATTAACAGCAGAAAGAAGGTGCCATGATGATGGCAGGTGGAATATCTAGAAATTTTGCAACTGACAAAGTTTAAAGGGCTCTTTATGAAAAATATGCCAAGGGTTCTAGATTACTGGTTTTGTACTAATCTGAGCAATATATTATTATTTGAGTTATTTTAGCCAACTACTAGCCACTCCTGGGAAGGAAGGTTGGGCAATCTACTTACGTAGTGATACCACCTCAGACTCGATGGCACGTAACAACAATTTTTCAATTGCCTTGCATTTAATGTTTTGTCTTAATGCTGATACCTTTGCATAAATGATAATAAATTGGGTTCACAGCAATTGATGGTGACAATAAAAATCTCAACAAACATTTAAAGAAGTAAAAACGACCTGACAAATAATCATTAATACCTCCTCTACCAACTTTGTTTTAACATTGTTTTTGTTTTTAAGTAGACTGTATAAAGGCAGCTTGGCATAGTAGGAAAAAAAAAAAAAAAACTTTGTTAGCAGAACAACATGAGTTCCAGTTCAAACTAGATAATGTCTTTAAATCTCAGCTTTCTCACCTTAAAAGTTACAGATAGCAATATGTGGCTATTTTGAATGTTTTACTTACTGTTTGTAAAGTGCATATCTGATAGGTAGCCTGAACCCAGTTCACTACACCTAATTGGATTACAAGAACTTTTCTAGGCAGAGTTAAGCTGCTCTCTGCTAGAGTATTTAAAACAACTAATGGAGCAAATGACATTGATACTGAACATTAGACTAAGCAATAAGCCTAAACTGGGAGGAAGAAATACTGTTTTCTCACAGTAAAGCCCAAGCAGTATTCTTTAAAGTTGTTGTGTTGTTGTTGTTACGTGCCGTTGAGTCGGACCCTACTCACAGAGACCCCTCCTTGGGTTTCCAAGGCAGTGTCACTATGGAAGTAGGGCCTTCCTCCCGAGGAGTGGCTGGTAGGTTTGAACTGCCAGCCTTCTGGTAAGCAGTCAAGTGCCTTAGGCACTATGCTACCAGAGTTCCTCTTTTTAAAGTGGGAAACAATTTTAATAGATGTGTGATATAAAATTCTGCAAATAACAGTTTTGATTTCATAAAGGAAACCCACTGTAAAATGGGATTTTTTTTTTAAATGGGCATTTATTTTAATATAAGAAGAATCCTTACGTGTTGAGGTGTTCAGTAGTTGATAGAAAGACTATGCCCTGGAATAATGCATTTAAAAACAATGGAAAAACTGTACAAAGTATGTCCAAGAGCTTCTCGTAGCAGCTGAATACATTTGAAGCAATAGACAGAATGAGGAAAAAGTTGAGGAAGCCAAGATAGTGTTCTCCCATATGGAATAAAGAAGCAATCATTAAGAAAAACATGGCGTAAAATATGAAACGAACATGTGGCATCATTTTAAGCAACTGGCAGAAGGAAAACTAAATCCATTGAAGATTCTTCTTTAAGTAGCAGAGGGGTTATGAGGAGAAAAAAAAGATAGTAATAATAATCATCATAGCCCAACTACTCAACTCTTA